CAGACTTAACTGATATAGTTAAAAGTATAAAATGTGACTCTCCTGTTTAGTCAACCGTAATGTGTTTAAGGATCATGCCCTTTTTTTTTTTACACAGATACAGCTAAAATGTGTAATTATGCAAAGGATGCATAGGGGGAAAAAAACAGCTCTAAATTGTTGCAACCTCATTGCTTTGCATCTCTATAGGAAAGAACATACTGCATTACGTTACGTGTGACTCATTAAAATGCAGAGACATTGGAAGCATTTGGCTGTTGTGTGTGTAGTGCAGCCTTGAAGACCACCGAGAACAAGTGGTGTAGAAAATGAGTGTGTGGTACAATAGGATAGTGTATGCTGCTCTGAAGTGGGCGCAGGCTCCATGCTTTTGTGTGGCTGCCATGGCAACTTAACAATTATAAAGGCCAGCTACAGTTCTGCATGTTTTTGTGAATGCTAACCTCTTGAGTAAAATAAAATAAAAAATAAAAATAGTTCAGTGTATTCTAATGAAATAATAACAGCAATATCCTGTTTTTATTATTCACTCATAAATAATTAATTTGAATACATTTGAAATATTTTTAAACCAATAGGGCTGTCTTTGGGATTTCGTACTATAGGCAACAGCTTTTTAAGATCAGCTTTTTAAGGGCCATCCAAGCTGTACATGACATTTGGATTAATTTAGCATTACATCACATGGTCCCCAAAGGCGATCAGAATGGGAGTCCAAACAGCAGATATAAACATCACAGTAATCGACAAGTAATCCATACGACTTCAGTCTATCAAGTAACATGAAGTGAAAGCTGTGAGTTTGCAAGAAACATAATATGCTTTTAGCTTCAAACTGTTGCTTGTAGTCCTCTATCCATACTGCTTTCTCCAGTAATAAAGTCTCATCTGAATCAGGAGAGAAGTGTTAACAATTGAAAACAGTTTGAAACAGTTCTAAATAATTTGTTGAAATCATTTTGATGTGAGAGGACAACAGGGGATGACTTTTCACTTTCACTTTTCACGAGATGTGATTTTTTTTTTATCAGCTGATTGAACTCCCATTTTGACAGCACCCTTTCACTTAAGAGGATCCATTGTTGAGCAAGTAATGTAATGCTAAATTTCTCAAAATCTGTTCTGATGAACAAACAAACTCATCTACATCTTGGACGGCCTGAGAAAAGATAAATTTTTGGGTGAACTTTAACAAATATTGAGCTGTGAAGTCAAGAAAAGAGTCACCTTTATCCTTGAAGTGCCTAATTTCACCATTTTGTGTTGTAAATAAGGATTATTACATTTAAGATTGCTGTGACAATGGAAAGAAGTGGCGCTGTGCGGATGTTAAGGGATCTGACATTGCTCTTGCCTCTGTCCACCACTTCAGCACTCTGAGAGATTGTTCAAACACAATCACCGCAGGAGTAATCAGGACACAAGAAGAAGAGAGAGACTAGGATTAGGGTTACACACACACCCACCTCCACAGACACAGCACTTCACTGCAATTACTGTCCACTTGAATTTGAAATGCAGAGTGACTGGCATGATTACATTAATTCCTTCAACATTTCACTTATATCGGGGTCGGGGATGCTTGTTGGCCTTAAAAAGAATCAAAAACTTCTGATTTATACAGACATCTTTTATGGGTCATTTTTTGAATGACCCAGCTCCTTTGGCATCTGAAGATGGGTTCATTTTTTGCTGCTGTGGGAAGGTTGAAGTAGATGAGCACACAAGCCTTATGGTTGCCATGGCAACCTCTCATCACCCTAAGAACGCTCTTGTTGTTGTAATCAGCAAGTCCGTCAAATGAGGGAAAGCTGTCACATTGAGGTTTGCATAGAAACACCAAAACACATAGGTGTCCCATTGCAACAAAAATCATATTAGATCTCCTAATTCAGTGAAAGATTTAAAGGAATAATTTACCAAAAATGAAAATTTGCTGAAAATGTATTCACCCTCAGGCCATCAGTAGATACATTTGTTTCTTCATCAGAACAGATTTGGAGAAATTTATGGTTACATCACTTCTTCACCAACATCCTCTGCAGTGAATGGGTGCCGTCAGAATGACAGTCCAAACAACTAATAAATATGTTGCAATATGTCTTTGTCAATATTTATTATGTCTTGTGAAGTGAAAAGCCATGTGTTTGTTACAAACAAATCCATCAAGACGTTTTTTAACTTCAAACCATTGCATATGGCAACCACAATATTGCTTTCTCCAGTGAAAAAGTTGTCTCATCAGATAAATATACTCAGATAAAGTACCGCTTATAAACAAAAACAGTCCAAAACAATTCTAAACAAATATATTGGTGGATTTTGAGTTGAAAGGACAACAGGGGATGGAGCTTTTTCACTGCAGGAAGCATTATTATTGATCATGAACTCGCATTTTGTCCAATTTGTTTCTGACAAACATGCAGTTTTTCACTTCACAAAATGTTAATTGATAGACTGAAGTCATGTGGACTTTACTTTTGGATTATTGTGAATTGTGCATTTTCTTTTAATTATCAGTAATATATTGGACGTACTTCAGGTCTGGTATGGCTTTGGATTTTATTAGCTAACAGCTGCTTAACACCTTGTGCACATGGAAATGATAATAGAAATTGTTCATATTCAAGTGATGTATGAATAATGTAAACAAAATTTAGCCAATATTCTATTTTTGATCAATCGGATGTAAAATATCCACTTTAATAGAAAAGTTTAAATCTTTGCATGTCCACACATGAATCAATTATTAAAAAGAAAAACTGAAATAAATTAAGAACAATAAGCAATTCCAGCATTTCCACATGGGGACAACAGCAAAAACACGAATTTGCTGCTTAACATGCATATAGGAATATTCTAATTGTGGTTTTAGAATAAATGTTCAACCAGTACACAGATGTGAACTGTAAAATGATGTGCAGGTAAAAGCTGTGAGCTGTGTATTCAGAGAATCACTTGAAAAGAACAGGCTGATGGATGATCTGATTCTGTAGGAGATGTAGAGCAGAACAGGATAACAGCGTTTAATGCTCCGGGGTCAAAGCTGTTCTCTTCAAAAGACCAGCAACACTGAGTCATTAACAGAGACAATCAGAGCAGCTGATCAGGGTAAAGGAAAGATGTGCATTCGATTAAACTTACAACAATGCTTCATGACATGTCATGCTCCTGTCCCTCGTGTTCCCTGTGTTTGTGTTAGTTGTTTTGTTTCATTCATTTAGATCCACATCTCTGCTTGTCTTCTCTGCCAGCCATATTACAGTATCTGCTGTAATACTACTAGAGTACTAGTAACTCTAATTGACAGTGTTTACAGCACACTCTTTCTAATTTATGCTGTGTTTGTGCCACACTGTGTTTCTAATTAATGCCGTGTTTTTCAGTATACCGAATTGTACAATGGCATTGTAAACAGCTCCACAGTGCAGCTGTTTAATGGATCTATTTTTTTTATCAGTTATTCTTCTTGAGAGAAATCAGGAAACAAAAGAGCACAAATCAAATAAATATATTGGGTCGGTGACCTCCTGCTGACCTTAAGGGAGTGACAGCTGCAGTGATTATAAAGGAAGTGGTTTTCTCTTCATGTGAAGTGTAGGGTTTTTAAAAACCTTTTACAATCCAATCACAAAGATGATTCCAGCTAACAGGAAACATTCTCAGAGCTTTGGTTAATATTCAGGTAAGATTCTTTTAAAGTGTTCTGCCAGTAACATTAACAGAATATGAATTCAAAGTTATGGTCTTTATTAAATGTCTTTAGTATCAGCACAAAAACATTATTTATGCATTGTTTATGGAACGTTTTTCAGACTAACAGATATTTTGAATAACATTTTCATAATGGGAAAATTAGCAAAACATATTTTTGTTAGCTGGGATAAGGTTGCGTTCTACTCTATTCATTAGAAACTCAAGCCTATTATTGCCTCATAGTTTTTTTCCCCCTTGAAATATTCAACTGATTTTTTTGTGCATTATTACAATTTCCAAATATGCACTATCAAACTTTTTTTTCAAAAGGTTATTTTTCATGAAAAAACTTGCATGACGAACCTTTAGCTGCAATTCAGATTTTGTATTCACCTAAGTACAAATCTTATGGAGATCTGTGACAGATGGCAGATGTTAAAGGGCGGCTTAGTCCTTATTAGGGGAACTTAATAATATGCTCTGGTGACATGGCATTGGAGGTTATGTTTGCAAATGCTTCTATAATTCATATTACTTGTTTGTAGTTTTGATATATCGGTTTCTCTTTTACTCTTTCTGCCTCATCTCACACCCACTCAAAACACAGAGCTCCCTTGAGATAATGTCAGTATAATGCTCTTTGGACCCAGTCCAGTAAAAAAAAAAAAGCAAAACCATGTACTAAACATGTGCTACGTGAGGTCAGCCCAGTTTAACTGGTGCACACATAGTATTTCAAGGGCTGAGGCCAAGAAAGAGTATTAGGTGGCTCAGATAGGCGCTCAGGCCTAATCTGGGATTAACGACGCAGCTTCGCAGATTGCCTTAAGGATTTCTCAGGTCTCATTAGCATGGCTGGGACGACCATGTTGATGCCAGAGTTGGTGATATCGGTAGTGCCACCAACGCTTGCCACTTTAATTTTCAGTGGATCCCTAATCTCTGAAAGTGCTGGTTCACCAGGACAAAAATACTGCCTGGTAGCATAGAAAAGGTGTTCTCACAATGCAATTATACAAATATAAATAAATATATAATAACACGCTTTAAAATTATTTTCAGAAAAAGGTCAAATCAAGAATGTAAATGTGTCAATTACAATAAATCATTATAAAAATAAATAAATATGCTCTCATTTCTATAAATTTTGCCCTAAAGATAAATAAATAAATAAGAGAGGAATTACAAACATTAACATTATGTTTCAGTCGGTTGTAAAAATGGCAGAGCCATTAGCCATTTATCATTGCTAATGAATATTAATGAGAAGACGAACACTAAGCTCCGCCCACGTCCACATCGAAAGCTCGGAGCTGTCAGTCATCTGAGGAGCTGAGGACTTCTGAACGCATCCTTTATCAGTATATTAAAAATTTGGACATCTAAGAATCACACATCATCTCAGTCTAAAGAAAACTGGTGATGACAGCAAAAGTGGGTGAAAACTGATGACCAAAAATGCCAACTCGAATTAGTTCTGTAAAGATGGGATTTTACGTAACATTGAGCAGGATCACCAGTTGCTTCAACCAAAGAGCAACTTGAACAGGAATTATCTTTGAATCTGGTGCCCTAAATCTGTTGGACAACTAAATATTGTTGCTTCGCAGGTAAGTTTAATAGATTGCATGTTACTATAGTGTAAATGATACAAATATAAAAATGCTATGAAAGTGCTGTTAATTTCCCATACGAATACTTATTTGTTGTCCGTTGGTGTTTGCGAAAGAATTTGTCGATGAGACGATAAATAAGTCGTCAGAAGACACTGAAATATTACATAATGTATTAATATTAACTAAGGTTCGTAACAGATGCAAATGAGTTAACAGGATCCCCTCTAGTCAGAGCGTTTCTGGCGCACGTGTAGCAGTGCTCAGCTTTCCAACTAAACCGTTTAATGAAAATAAACCAGTCCAGATTTTCTCTTGTCGATGCAATAGTGACACTTTACATTACAGTGCCAATGTACATGTATATATATATATACTGTAAAAACTAGCCACCTTTATGAATATGAATCTTAAATGAAAGAAATACACAGTTAATTTACTCTTAATTTATATGACTGAGCATAAACACTAAGTATTTAAAACAAAATGATGAACAGTGCTTTTTCACTGTTAATTGTGTGATGACAGTACAAATTATAGAAAGAAAGACTACATTGGGCATGTCAGAGTGTTGATTTATTTTTTAGGGTGGGCATAGGGGTCTTCAGATCCTCAGATGACAGAACCCTGTGGGTGGAAATCAGGACTGCAGACAAGAGGTTGCTGTGTGTCTTCAGCATTAGCATCGCTCTGGATTTGGAATAGATTACACAAATAGCGTTGGTGGTGTTAGTCTAATTACACTAATCTTCCCTCAACAATAAGATAAAATTAAACATTATTAGATAGAGAAAGTGCAGCATCACCCCTTTGGTCAAAGACCCTGAAAGATGTGGTGTATAACTGGGTTAGGAAATTTCTTGCCATATGAAAAAAAACAAACAAACAAAAAAATCAATTTACCACTCTGTTTAACCAAATATTAGTCTACAACCAATTCTTGCTATATGCAGTCACAGTTTCTAAGAGTTCTGTTTACATGGTGGCTCGAGTTGCCTTTAAAGTACATCTGGGTCAAGATCTATCTACCAGCGAGATGGGCCACTGATCTTGTTTAGTGTTTAAGCAGCAAGTATTTTTAGGCGATGTGTTCAGATGGTCGCTGTCGGTGTAAAAACGGGTTTACAGAGATCAAGTCAATAACAAGTTCTTGCAGATTTTAATTCCACTGAACCTTGGGTTCAGCTGATACAACGTTGTTATCTGAAATAATGGCAGCCCATTGAAAGCCTCATTGCATTATGCTTTTGAGCATAATTTCTAGGATCAAATACATGCTTTAAATGTTTAATAATTCATGGTCTTTTGTTATAGTGTTGTCCTTTGTTTGACATGTCTTATCAAGTGCTGGATGCCTAGAATAGGCGAAGAGAAGACAGAGAATGGCGGAGATTTGTACAGAGCAATCCTACCCATCCAGACACAGGCTTTCGGTCCGAGCCTCTGAAGAAGAACTGGACCAGACTAAAAATGGTGCAAGCAGGTTAGAATATCAAGCGGATCTTAAGGGGGTCATATTGTACATTTGTAATCTTTTTCTTTTCTTTTTGAGCATCACTTACAGTGCTCAGGGTTTTTGCACCAATAGAGTTTCAGACTTAAATTTTTCTGAAACAATTCGCAAATGAAACAAGAAGCTGTCAAGCACAGGATGCGGGTTTGTTGTCAGGTCAAATATATTTTGGACTCCCCCATTCTTTAATAGCTTTTGTTTGCAAATCTGCATTACATTGTGACAAGTTCACAAAACAGTATATGCTGAAAAATTCAGCTAAAAGCTAAGTTTAGATTGAAATGGGCTGGTATTTTGTTAAAAAAATAAACTTAGCTAAAAATCTGAATGTTTGGATTCTTCAGGAAAATATCTGGAGCTGCAAGTGCTACACTTTGTAGAACATACACTTTGTAATTTGGAGAATGTTCTTGCATTTTATTTTAAGTTGTTTTGCAATTTCTGCAGCTTAGTTTCAATAGCTGGTCTTGTTGAAACATGATTAAAACCTAACTTTTCTTAGGGCACATTCTCTATGTGAGGACCAGTCCTCTGACATGCAGGGGATCATTTCTTCTACAACCAGCCAGTTTCAGGAATCCAGGAGAAGCTCTTTCACAGGTGCTGGGGCTATGGCAAGGTAACATCAAGTCCATCCAAACCAAAGCTTTAACGTAGTTTACCATGTGAACCGTGATTACCACTAAAGCCAAGTCAACTGCACACTCAGCATCAGTCATTAACACATCTGATTTTACCATACAGAGAAGTATGATCCACACTTATCAACAAAACTGTGCAAAATTTGAACATGTTAAGTGTGCATTTGACATGGCTTGAACAGAAAGCTACATACTGTATAAAGTGCTTGGAAGTGTTACTGTTTGACATCTTTCGGTCTCCCAGGCTCACCCAGTTTCTGGTAATGCTGAGGAACTGGGCATCACACAGGCTTCGCAGAGAGGTTGAGCGTCCCGACTCCTTTTTAGAGCGATTCCGTGGACCTGACCTCAAAGACTTATCTAGCCGAGGAAGTAATGCCCGATCCTCTATAGGCCTTCCTGACAGGCCTCATAAGAGGAAGTAAGTCAAGAAAAAGATTTGCTGTACAGTTTCTTTGTACAGACAGAGATGCCTTTGGTATAATGTAGAGGCCTTGAAAATGAAAGAATCATGTAGAGAATCATGTGGCATCTGTGCAAAAATACAGTATATCCGTATTGTGTGCAGATGATTCATAAAACAGATCACAGCTGAGGATTCATTTAATAAAATCAAAATCCGAAAACAGTATGTAGATTTCCATGTAGAAATCCCCCTTTAGGTAAAACAGTATCACAATAACTTGTAGAATAGAAACTAATTGAAACAGTTGTTGCTATAGATATAGATAATAAATCAGCAGTAGTGATGATCTGTAGTTGTTGTCCTAGAATCAGATCCCTCCAAATGTACTCCACTATAATAACAAAACGAATGCCTTTTGCTCATTAAGAAAAGCCAATCACTGGCCTCTGGCAGCTTACAATATGAACAACTGCAACAACACAGATGAGTAAGTACCATGTAGAAACAGCTCCTCCAGATATAAACCCCTATAATGACAGAAAAATTATTAATACGTGGATGTGTTAGATACTAGATTTTAGAATCCTAAAAACAAATGAATACTAACAATAATTTATCTCAAATATTAAATTAATAACAACAGATGATAGTCTAACATGTTTAGTACATTGCATTAATAGTGTTCAGTGAATATTGGTAGTGTTAATGCTGCCCTCTGCAGGTTAACATGAGAGCTTACCAGTGTTAGTTCACACTAGTGACCCTTATTAGATACCAGACTAGTTCACAAGCTAATTCAAAATAAAAACAACCCTACATGTTACCTTCAGCAAAAAGGAGGATAAAAAGGAAGAAATAAAAAAAGATGAGAAAAAAGATGAAGACAAGAAGGAAGAGAGAAAAGATGAAAAAGACGAGAAAAAAGATGAGAAAAAGGATGAGAAAAAAGATGAAAAGAAGGATGATAAGAAAGATGATAAAAAGAAAGATGCTCCTCCTCCTCCGTGAGTATGCCACAAATGATAGCAGCTTTAGTACTAATAATCAGATAATTATATTATTCACAGATGAATGCTGTTATTCAGTAGGTGTTCATCTTTGAAAGTGGCCAGACGGTAATCTAATATGTGCTTTAGGAAAGAAGTGTGGATCATGGACCCAGCCTCAGACAAGTATTACAGATGGCTTTCAGTCATAGCAGCCCCAGTGTTTTACAACCTGATGATGCTGGTGACAAGGTCTGTTCATGCAGAATCTCTCATGAAATCAATAACTTCAGATGTGGCATGTGCTTCATTGTATATATCTCTTTAGGGCCTGTTTCAATGAGCTTCAGAACTCTTACACAATGCTTTGGATCATCATGGACTATACCTCAGATGTAATCTATTATGCAGACACGTTTGTCAGATCAAGAACAGGTATGGTGATTTTTCAGAAAGAGTTCAAATATTGTATTATTAACACTATTAATGTTAATAGTATTGATTGAATATATCCATTATATATTTTAAAATTAAATATCAATGCACTACCATTTCAATTTTTTTTACAAATAAATTGTTTTGTGAAATTTCTATTTATCAAAGAATCCAGAAAAAAAATTATTACCGTTTCCACAAAGTGTGAAAGCACAACTGTTTTCAATGCTGATAATATATGTTTCTTGAGCACCAAATCAGCATATTAGAATGATTTTTTTGAAGGATCATGTGACACTGAAGACTGGAGTAATGGCTGCTGAAATTTAAGGAATAAATTACATTTGAAAATTTCTCAATAATCACTGTTCTACTGTATTTGTAATTAAATAAATGGAGCCTTGGTGAGCATAAGAGATTCATTGTCTAATAATATGCATTTATTTTTACCTTACTTGCTCAACGACTCCCAAACGATTCACTCAATGATTAATTTTTCCAAACCCCTCCTTTGCGTGAAGCTAATCTGCAGTGATGGGTCCGATTGGTCTCATTTTCATTTAATCATGCCTGATAAAGCAGCGTTTGTGAGCGCAGTGCTGCTTTGTGTACAGCGTTACCGGGGAAACAGCTATTTTATTTTGCTACAAAAGCGGCACCTAGTGGCAAAGAATGAATTTGCATTTTCATTCAGTCCGACGTGAAAAGACCAACAAGTGGGTGGGCAATATGCTAATGTTTCATGTTGACCTCAACATGAAACGGCTTGGGAATCGTTTTAAAAATGACTCGTTTCAATGATTCAGAGTCGACTTTCTTTTGAGAGACAATAACTTTATACACGGTACACTTTCAGATTTAAAACTTTGCAGGATGTTTTCATTCACTTAGAGCTGTGTTACACACTGCATGAAAAGTAATTTTCAAAAAATCCATAATAGGGGCACTTTAACAAACTATTCTACTAGATACTACAAGCTGGTTGAATTTGTATTCTTTTTAATTTCTAATTTTGTCTTTTTCAGGCTTCTTGGAGCAGGGTCTCCTTGTCAAAGACTCTAAGAAGTTGATGGATCATTACAGGAGAATCCCACAGTTTAAATACGACATGATTTCAATGATCCCAACGGATTTAATAATGCTCAAAGTGGGCTTCAACAACCCCGAACTTCGCTTCAACCGCCTTTTCAAAATGGCACGTCTCTTCGAGTTCTTCGACCGCACAGAAACCCGAACAAACTACCCGAACATTTTTCGCATCAGCAACCTCGTACTTTACATCCTGATTATTATTCACTGGAATGCTTGCATTTTCTTTGCTATTTCCAAAACGATTGGCTTTGGGACTGACACATGGGTATATCCAAACATCAGCCATCCAGAATATGGCCGCTTGGCTAGAAAATACATCTACTGTCTGTACTGGTCCACTCTTACTCTCACCACCATCGGAGAAACGCCACCTCCTGTTAGAGACATCGAATACTTGTTTGTCGTTATGGACTTCCTCATCGGAGTGTTGATTTTCGCTACCATCGTCGGTAACGTCGGTGCCATGATCTCCAACATGAATGCTTCTCGTGCTGAATTTCAGGCCAAGATCGACTCCATCAAGCAGTACATGCAGTTCCGTAAGGTCAGCAAAGACCTGGAGGCCAGGGTCATCAAATGGTTTGACTACCTTTGGACGGAGAAGAAAACTTGCGATGAGAAGGAAGTCCTGAAGAACCTTCCAGACAAGCTCAAAGCTGAAATAGCCATCAATGTCCATTTAGATACACTGAAGAAGGTGCGAATCTTCCAGGATTGTGAAGCTGGACTTCTCATCGAGTTGGTGTTGAAGCTGCAGCCTCAGGTGTTCAGTCCTGGAGATTATATATGTAAAAAGGGTGACATTGGTCGGGAAATGTACATCATCAAAGAAGGAAAGCTTGCCGTAGTGGCCGATGATGGCGTCACGCAGTTTGTGGTGCTCAGTGACGGCGCTTACTTTGGAGAGATCAGTATTCTGGGAATCAAAGGCAGTAAAGCTGGAAACAGAAGAACGGCGAACATTCGTAGCGTGGGCTATTCGGACCTCTTTGCGCTGTCTAAAGACGACCTTGTGGAAGCGCTTACTGAATACCCAGATGCCAAAAAAGCCCTGGAGGAGAAAGGAAAGGCCATCTTAAGGAAGGACAACCTTCTTGATGAGGCGGTTGCAAGCGCCGGTGCTGATCCCAAAGATCTGGATGAGAAGATTCACCGCCTAGAGAACAACCTTGAAGTCATGACTGGCAAGTTTGCCAAGCTTATGGGAGAATACACATCCTACCAGAGCAAGATGAAACAGAGGATCACCAACATGGAGAACAAAGTGAAAACACTACGGGTGGAAGATCTGTCTGAGGTTGTTGAGGACAAAAAAGAAGAAGAGAAGAAGACAAAATAGTCAACAGCATAGACATTGGGGTTAATGGGGTTTCCTATCCATGGACATAGTACATTACTTTGAAACTGTTTATACTTATAAGTTTTACATGACAATGTTGTACTAATTGCCATATATATGTGTTGAAACGTAACGCTGATGACGTTGTATTTATTCAATATGTGCAGTAAGAACAGCTCAGATGACAGAATTGAGGAGAGAGATACACTACCATTCAAAAGTTTGGGGTTTTAAAATGATTAAGTATTTTTTAACAGATGTTTCTTATGCTCACCCAGGCTTATTTGTAAATTTATATTTACAGCAAAAATAGTAATACCCTGAAATATTACAATAAAAAAAAACATTTTCTAATTTCCTTAAAAATTTAATTTATTCTTGACTTCAGTATCACGATCCTTCATTTGTCTTGTAGAAATAATTCTAATATACTGATTTGGTGCTCAAGAAACATTTCTGTGCTGTTATATGCTGATTCATAAACAATATAAATGTCTTTACATTTACTGATGAATTTAATTCATCATTGCTGAATAAATGTACTTGGTATTATATCTATGGCTACTTTTGAACAGTAGTGTATCTTTAAGGTGTATGTCAAAAACGTGGCCAAAAAAGGCACTTTGTACTGGATGAGGTCTACATTTGTAGGTCAGACTCGGAAGAGGAGGAATAATACTCTTAATTGTTGATTTGGCATAAGTATGAGAACATATATTCAAAATTAATATTTAGTTATTTTGACGATGTTCTGATTCTGCTCATTAAACAATTACATTATTTTAATAATATGGCTAATAGTGTTGTTCGAAAAACAACATGGACAAAGTATGTCATCCCAAACACAAGACAAAACATTTTAGTCTACTATCCAAGAGTACCCAAATGTGTTCTTTAATAAATGTTCTAACAAATGTTGTTTGCTTGCTGGCCTCGAAATTATCAATATACTAGGCATGTATTGTGTGTCATGTTAGGGACCACAAACTGTACTCTTAGAGAAAATCTGATATAGAAAAGGTGAAACAGTGTATGTGTCTAAATTGTATATAAAAAATAAATCTAAATGATTATTTCTTATAAACTAAGTACCAGTTTGATGCCAAACACCAGGCGACCAAATCTTAAAGTGACTAAAATCTTAGTTTATTAAAAACTAAAGTAAGTTTATGAGCGAGCTAAGGTATTTTGGCTTCAATATGGTATTGAATATGTTGAAACAGATATATATGTTCATTTTGTGTGTATTTTACATTATAAATGGTTTTGTGAAAACTCCTAAATTGTGTGACACCACCACAAAAGACCCAAAAGTTGAAAGCACACAATCTCATCACAATTCCACACTTGGTTTGTTTTTCAGTTTAGAATTTATTTAAGAATAACTTGAAACAATCAAATGTTGTCATTCTCAATATCAAGTTCTGTTTCCCCCCTTTATGTCAGCGCCATCAGCAGTGGAACGAACCACAGTCACATTTAATATGCAAGAGGGAAAAAGGAAAAACAAAACGTGTAGAGGGCATCACTAAAGTGGGTTTCCAGCTATGCCTGGACAAACCGGAGCGGCAATTCTCAGCATAAATGTTTGGCACGACAAGATAGTGGTACACTATTTTCATCCAACAGTATAGGGCCAGACACTATGCAGAGCAAAAAAAAACAACTAAAACAGAAACAGTTTCTTTATGGGGCACTGTCAATTAGAATTCACCGACTAAAAGTCTGCCATCCTGAATTAAAACAAGACAGGTAACAAAACACTTGTAGGAAGCCTTTGAGAGAGGTTTATGTGAAGGTTAGATCTCTCTTTTGTAACACTACTCATTTTTGTCAGGAGTGCACCATGAACATGGATTGATTTTAGCAAACAGATCAATTCTGTACGAGAGAGAAAGAGCCGGCTCCGAAGCGAAATGCAGAAAACTGGCCATAAAAGAGCAGCACAACTCGCCAAGCGGCATTACAAACAATGCAGTTCCTCAATAAATACAGATTCCTGGACACAAGATTGAGACGGGCTGCTCTGTACCTTTGAAAGCACTGCTGCAAATACAAATGGACTAGGGAAGACCTATGAAACACAAGCCAAAAAATGTCAAAGGGCAGACCCAAAACAGGAAAAAAACAACAACCCTAAGAGACATTCTGAATATTGAGTTAAGTGCACTTTCACAGTTCAACCATAATACATCAATAAAGTTCCACTTCCTCCCTTTGATCTCGTTAAGTTTAGATGGTGATCAGTCCTGCAGGTGTTGAAAACTTCTAACCGTCTCTCCTTTTCATGACTACGAAAGCAAAAAGTGAGTGGATTTCCTGGCAGACATGACAAGAGATTTCATCCTTTCAAATAAATAACGCTATTTCTCAGTGCATACAAAAATGGAACCTTAACACTTACATAAGAGGGAGAGAGAGAGCCAAGAGTCCAGTGTGGTTTTATCTACTATTTAGGCACAGGCACACGGTCACCAGAACTTTGCCATTTTACCCCATTTCACGTTGCCTTACATTTAAACTTGATATTTACTTTTATTTGTCGATGTAGCTGAATGCTCCTTTGACGCACAAATGAGAGCTCTGAGGGCGAGCGAGTTCTTTTGCGGATCCTGGTGCCTCAGAGCATGCCGAAGCCTTTGGCGTAAGTGATGGCTTTAAGGAGTCTCTCTCTAAGTTTCTCTATGGTGGAGTATTCAGGGAGGAGCAGCACATTGAAGCAAGTATGAGAGGTGGGTAACCTGACCATAGGAGGAGAGGAAGAGTGCATTACTTTGAGAAGACTTTGCATATTTATTGCTTATCAATTAAATGTGGCAAAAGTGTAGTTATATATATATATATATATATAGCTCACATTTTTCAAAGTACAAAATGTATTCGGATTCAAAATTGAATCGATCTGATACATGATCTATTTAAACACAGTATGATGTCAAAAAACCTGAACAGTGTATTTGAGTTTACCTGTCTGAGTCTGGGCCATTTTTGGCAATAATCATCTTGAGTTTGCCTAAACCTCCAACTGGAGCTCTATCTGTGCCCGTGGTGAACTGAAGAAACAGCCTCTTCTGCTCCTGCCCAAATGAGTGCACAGTCTCCCAGAAATCCCTGATGAGAGTCAAAAATGTACACTTTTAATCTCACATAGGAAGTAGTATTTACAACTAGTGGTCGACTGATATTGTGCTGATGTGACTATCAGGAGATCAGGATGGCTGATGCGTAATGTAACACTCATAATTAAATGACAACAAGACAAATTAAATTAATTATTTCATGACAAATTAATTGCTTACACAAAAAACTTAATGCTCATCTTGCACAACATTTAGTCCTGAAACACCTGAAATCACTAGCTGAAAACAGAAGATTTATTATCCATTGACATGGTTGTCAGTAGGTTTTGTAACTGGAGAAAAAAACTGCTAAAAACCTCAAATGGTCAAATATCAGCCGATCACTACTAGTAACTATTACGTCATAAAGAAAATAATAACCCACACGGAATTATTTACATAATGAACTTATTTGAATAAGCATCCACATACTTAATAATGCGAGAGTCTTTGTTGTATCCACCATCATATTCTGTACTATCTTCAAGTGCTTGGAAGTCAAGATTCTGCATGAGAAAAACACAAAGTTATGGGTTTATAGTTATGGCTGTGCCACATGTATAAGAACAGCCTGGAAGTAGGTAATAATCTATAGTCAACTCACCCTGCTACCACATATAAGCAGCTCAATTTCCTCCGGTCGAAACAGATACTTCAGCGGAGATTCATTAGTGACCATGTGGAATCCTCTTCTGAAGGCCTTGAACTGTTTCTCCACACTTTTGTTCAGCATGTACTCTGCATAGAGTGCCACAAAATCCTGCAGAGACCCACTTTGTGTTATGTGTATACTAGCAGAAACGAACATGTCTGTGTTTTAAAACGTTGAATGAATGAATGCAATGCCGGACTCTTCTGCTTGAAGTGGACTAACCTTTCTGTTCTCATTGGTAACTGGGATTTTATCTCCTCCTTCCTTCAAATCATACATTAGTGGGTTTCCAAACAGGTCTGTTTGTGAGATCTGGAAGGTAATCATCATGTCGTCTTCCACATTACCTTCATACTCCAGCAGATCCTTCAGACTCTGATAAAGAACCTGTAGAAACATGATCAGAACCATTATAGAGAATATGTAGAGATGCACTGATACTACTAGGTTTTCTGCTAATCCTACATAATTGCTATACGACAGAGCATGAATCAACTCGCCCCAAATATTTTGATGAGCAGACACTGTGTGCTAAAGTCATAATGACAGGGTCTGCCACTAAAGTGCTGATGTACCTGCCTAAATCTCCTCCCAGACACAATCTCTGCCCTAAATCTGCCTGTATCCTGTACAAGTGCAAACAGACAGCTGCTTCGCAGCATGCCTCCAATATGAGAACAGGAGATGCACTCCCATTTGCAATAAAGCTGAAATGTTGCTCTTTGTAATACTAAATACATAATTTCATTGTCAACGTACAACATGATGTTGAAATGCTGTGGAAAAAAACGAGCTTCTGTTTCAAGCAAGTCAAAATATAATTAATATAAGGCCATGTTAACATAAGATGTGCTCTTGAAAAAGCTCTTGTTTGGAAAGGCATTACATACGGTCTTGTTCGATTCTGCACGATTTTAATCTAATATTAAGTTTGTTAGCATGTGAAAAACGTACACGCCACTATTTCTAAAGTGTAGTTTAATTGTTTACACAAGTGGAAACTTTAAAAATGTACACTACTGTTCAAAAGTTTCGTAGTCTGTAAGCCTTTTAACATTGTAACAAAAAAAATAATCAAAGAATCCTCAAAGAAAGTATCATGGTTTCCATAAAAATATTAAGCACTACAGCTGTTTTCAACATTGATAACAATAAGAAATGTTTCTTGAGCACCAAATCAGCATATTAGAATGATTTATGAAGAATGATGTGGCACTGAAGACTGAAATAATGTCTGCTGAAAATCACCTTTGCCTTCACAGGAATAAATTACATTTAAAAATATATTAAAAACAAAACTATTATATATATA